CCTCCCAAATTGGGAAAAATATTATCAAGCAGCAATATTGGTATAGATGAAGGATTGGATACACTTAAAGAACAGAAGACTATTGGCATTAGAAGGCCATGATATGCAAATAGGGTGGCATGCTATAATGTGGAATGGGAAATATAAGGCTCATCAGTACTTTCATAATCATCATATTAGACAGGCACTATTAGACGTGTGGACAAAAATTAAAAAAATTAATTATATAAAAATTCCCAATTGGCTATCCATATTAGAGATATTCATGCACCCCAAATTCATAAATTTAGGAAGAGTAATTACATACAAAGATATCTTAGACGAGAATGGGGATCTGAAAACAAGGAAAAGATTATCAGAAGATGGTATAGAGTTGGAATGGTGGGCATACTTACAAATGCAGTCACGATACAGAAAAGACAAAAAAGAACCAGGGATAAAATTAAAGCATACACAATTAGATAAAATCCTTCTAGGAACAGAAGATCAAATGATAAAAAAGACATATCAATATTTATTAGAACAAGATTTATTAGAAGAACAGGTAAAAGAAACAATGTTAATCTGGAGTAAAAATTTTGGTTACAGTATTGACCTTGATAATTGGCAATCATTATGGGACAGAAACAGGAGGTTAACACTAGCCACCTCCTACAAAGAAAATTTATACAAGATGTTTTACAGATGGCATCTTCTCCCTACAAGGCTAGCAAAAATAGATAAAAAAAACCTCACCAACATGCTGGAAATGTAGAAGGCTTCCAAGGACTTATTGTCACATGTGGGGGGAATGTTCAAAGGCACAAAATTTTTGGAATCGGATAAAAAATTGGCTGGAAGAACTACTATTACAAAAAATTGATTTAAAACCAGAAATCTTCTTATTAGGGATTATTAATGACAAACTCAGCAAAGCATCTTTTTACTTACTATTGCATATTTTAACTGCAGCAAGATTGGCATATGCTAAAAAATGGAAAGGAAAGGAAAGAGGATGACTGTTTTAATTAGCTCTGGCTTTGAACTATTGTATTGTGACAGTCTGGCTAGAGCATGGGTCAGCAACCCGCAGCTCCGGAGTTGCATGTCTCTCTCTCTCTCTCTCTCTCTCTCTCTCTCTCTCTCTCTCTCTCTCTCTCTCTCTCTCTCTCTCTCTCTCTCTCTCTCTCTCTCTCTCTCTCTCTCTCTCTCTCTCTCTCTCTCTCTCTCTCTCTCTCTCTCTCTCTCTCTCTCTCTCTCTCTCTCTCTGAAGAGGACTGGCACACCAAGGGCAGGAGAGAGCCAGCCCAATAAGAATGTTGTCAGCTTGTCGGAGAACAGCATAAAGCCAGCCTCTATTTCTTTTTAATTAAACTCTTCAATCAAGCTCTCCTCCTTGTATGTGTGCACGCGCACGGGCAAGTTTTGCAGCTCCCAGTGTTTTCTTTTCTCTGGGAAACGGGTCCAAGTGGCTCTTTGAGTGTTTAAGGTTGCTGACCCCTGGGCTAGAGCATCTGCTAAGAAGTTCTTTCCCCTGGGAGATATCATAACTTTTGAAACAGCAGCTCAAGCAGGCTTACAAGAAGGCAAAAGATACCCATCAGCAGGAGGGCCATCCATAGCAGTAGAGTAGTAGGTTTGGCTCTCTAGCAAGTTCTTAGCAATTTCAAGATCTTCCAAGAAGCTAGATGCTAAGTTTGTGGGACTATACAAGGTTCTGACAAATCAACCCTGTAGCCTTCCACCTCCAATTATCCCCATAATGAAGGTGCATCTACTGTTTCACTGAGAATTTAGTGCCCTAAAGATTGGACACTAAAACATAAAAAGAATAATGTAGTGTATGCAATCCAATGCAGAGAGGAGTGTTCAGAGCTCTAAATTGGAGTAACCAAGCAGCCTTCACACAAGACAGGATCAGAATCAGTAGTATACCTTCATTTAAAAGAAAAAGAACACTTCTGAGTACAATAATGTACACATTTTGGGCAGTAAAAATAGTTTGGGAGGAGAGTGAAGGAATCCATTTATGCCAAATTGGAAAATCCTTCCCTCAATGGAGGTGGAGGTCTCAGATACCCCACTTTCTGTGCTGTTCTTTCAACAGTCCCCAGGAAGATTAAGACCACATCACAGGATCACTAGAGAAGCCACCCTTATTTGACCCATCTAGGGTAAAGAATTTAGGAGTTGGAACATTTTCTGCCTTTCAGAGTAAGTGAAATGAAACCTCCCTGGAGGACATATATTGAGTCCCTCTAACCCAGCGGTTCTCAACCTATGGGGTCGCGACCCCATTTGGGGTCGATCGACCATTTCACGGGGGTCGCCAAGCAAGGCTGTCCGCCATTTTTTTCCCCTTTTCCGGCGGGTGCCTTACCTCCCTTGAGCTGGGCCAGCTGGTGGTCGGCCTGCTCCATCTCTGCCGCTTGCCAGCTATGCCTCGGCCGGCACAGGGGGCAGAACCACGCATGCGTGGCGCTTCCGGGCAGGGAAAGTCCTCAACTTACGACCGGTTGGGGGTCGAGGCATTAAAAAGGTTGAGAACCACTGCTCTAACCAATTTGCTCAGACTAAAGAAGCTACTTGGATAAGCAGAGAAATGTTTCATACCAATAAGAAAAAGGTCCAATTGCTATGACTCTACTTCCAGACATCTATTTATCTATGTTTATCAAGTTTATATAGCTGCCTGTCTCAGCAAAGGCAACTCTGGATGGTGCACAACAACAGATAAAGTAACCAATATGGAAACAACATATAAAATTTTAAAAAGCACAATAACCATAGGCATGGCACGGATAAAAATGGTTCCTTTAGCAATGGAGCCTTTTAGAAAAATTCCTGGTCCCCTGGGAGTTCCAGGCTTGGCAATATAACCAGCCTCATGAGAGGAGGTACATCTCCTAGGAGCCACCAGATATAGATCTTAGCCAATGGTGCTTGCAGCACCCCTTCTCTGACAGATCTATTGGCATAGGCTGATGAAACAGTGGAGAAGTGGTCCCTCTGATAGCACAGTCCCATACCCTGAAGGGCTTTAAATGTCAAAACCAGCACTTTGAATTGGAGGTTGTGCAGTACAGGTGTAATCAGGGCTTTTTTTCTCGGAGAAAAGGTGGCGGAACTCAAACCTGGCCACGCCCTCATCAAACCCTAGGACCGCCCCTTTAGAGAACAGGAATGCAAGTAAAATTTGGGAGGGGCTATTTCCGGTGTGGGAGGGGCTATTTCCGGTGCGGCCGGCCCGGAAAAAGGTGCCGGAACGCCGTTCCGCCGCGTTCCGG